ATTTTTTTTTTTTTTTTTTTTTTGAGATGGAGTTTTGCTCTTGTTACCCAGGCTGGAGTGCAATGGCGCGATCTCGGCTCACCGCAACCTCCGCCTCCTGGGTTCAGGCAATTCTCCTGCCTCAGCATCCTGAGTAGCTGGGATTACAGGCACGCGCCACAATGCCCAGCTAATTTTTTGTAGTTTTAGTAGAGACGGGGTTTCACCATGTTGACCAGGATGGTCTCGATCTCTTGACCTTGTGATCCACCCGCCTCGGCCTCCCAAAGTGCTGGGATTACAGGCTTGAGCCACCGTGCCCGGCCTAGGGCTTGGGTAATTAAACATAATAACTAGAAGGCCAGCAAAAAAAAAAAAAAAAAAAAAAATCCTTCAGATAATTACACAGTAGCCATACTCATTCCCTGCCTTTTGAAAAGATCTCTTAGCAAGTTTTTGCTTAATACAGGGTTTGGCTGGGCGAGGCTGCTCACACCTATAATCCCAGCAATTTGGGAGGCCAGAGTGGGTGGTTCATTTGAGCTCAGGAGTTCAAGACCAGCCTGGGCAACCTGACAAAAGCCTGTCTCTACAAAAAATGCAAAAATTAGCCAGGTGTGGTGGCATCTGCCTGCAACCCCAGCTATTTAGAAGGCTGAGGTGGGTGGATTACTTGAGCCTGGGAGGCAGAGGGCAGAGTTGCAGCGACCTGAGATTGATCCACTGCATCTAGCTTGGGTGACAAAGCTAGACCCTGTCTCAACTTAAAAAAAAAAAAGGGGGGGGCGGGGAGCAAAACAAAAAATGGGGTTTGTACTTATAAATTACATTTTTCCTTTCATGAGGTCAGAGCCTGGTCACAGCACGAACTGAAGAATGTAATATCGGGTGCTCTCATCATGCTTTCTCTCCTGATAATGTTTCCTGTAAATCTCTGCTCAGGTACCCACATCTCATAATTATTCCAAAATATAATGTTTTGCTTAAAAAAATGCTAATTTCATGCAAAAAATCCCCAAATATGCTGCAAATGTTACTGTCTATCTGTGTATATTTGCAGGCCTCAAACAACTGATGAGCGCTGACAATGCATTATTATGTACCCAGATAATTCAGGGATAATTTATTAGTAATATTTCCCCACTTTAGGATTATCTAAAGTATGCAATTACAAATATGCAATACCATTTCAGCCATTAATGGCAAAGTTAGCCAAATAAATGATCATTAAACCATTTAAAAATTAAGTTACCACTAAAAGAAGCATTACAATTTTCCACTGGATTATAATGAACTTATGGCTTATGTAAGTTTTGGCCTATGAAAAAACATTTCATAATCACTTATAAAACATTTTGTTTTGCTCTTTCCACCATCTTTCTGTGCCACCACAACGGTGCGCATGAATGTCCTGGTTGATGCTCTCAAGAGCATCAACAATGCCGAAAAGAGAGGCAAACGCCAGGTGCTTACTAGGCTGTGCTCCAAAGTCATCGTCCAGTTTCTCACTGTGATGATGAAGCATGGTTACATTGGCGAATCTGAAATCACTGACGATCTCAGAGCTGGGAAAATTGTTGTGAACCTCACAGGCAGGCTAAACAAGTGTGCTGTGATCAGCCCCAGATTTGATGTGCAACTCAAAGATCTAGAAAAATGGCAGAATAATCTGCTTCCGTCCCGCCAGTTTGGTTTCATTGTATTGACAACCTCAGCTGGCATCATGGACCATGAAGAAGCAAGATGAAAACACACAGGAGGGAAAATCCTGGGATTCTTTTTCTAGGGATGTAATACATATATTTACAAATAAAATGCCTTATGGACTCTGGGAAAAAAAAAATTTGTTTTGTTCCTGTTTTTTAGAGACACAGTAGGGTCTTGCTCTGTTGCCCAGGGTGGAGTGCAGTGGCACAATCATAGCTCCCTGCAACTTCTACCTCCTAGGCTCCAGCAATCTTCCTGCCTCAGTCTCTTGAGTAGCTAGGACTATAGGTGTGTGCTACCACTCCCCGGTATTTTTTTTTTTTTTTTTGTTAGAGAGGGTTTCGCTCTTGTTACCCAGGCTGGAGTGCAATGGCGCGATCTCGGCTCACCGCAACCTCCGCCTCCTGGGTTCAGGCAATTCTCCTGCCTCAGCCTCCTGAGTAGCTGGGATTACAGGAACGCACCACCATGCCCAGCTAATTTTTTGTATTTTTAGTAGAGACGGGGTTTCACCATGTTGACCAGGATGGTCTTGATCTCTTGACCTCGTGATCCACCCGCCTCAGCCTCCCAAAGTGCTGGGATTACAGGCTTGAGCCACCGCGCCCGGTCATCCCCGGTATTTTTTTAATTTCATATGTCTTCGTGAAAAAGCCTACTGCTCTAATTTTATGGTACTACATTAAATCATCTTATGACTTTATAAAACTATTTTATCAAGGCTTTTGAGAAAAGATCCTGTGACTCAAGTTCTACAGAAGTACAAGCAATAGGGCAATCAGAGCAAGTACAGAAATACTTGTTGTGTACTTAAAAAGCCTTTTTACGGCCGGGCGCGGTGGCCCACGCTTGTAATCCCAGCACTTTGGGAGGCCGAGGCGGGTAGATCACGAGGTCAAGAGATCGAGACCATCCTGGTCAACATGGTGAAACCCCGTCTCTACTAAAAATACAAAAATTAGCTGGGCATGGTGGTGCACGCCTGTAGTCCCAGCTACTCGGGAGGCTGAGGCAGGAGAATTGCTTGAACCCAGGAGACGGAGGTTGCGGTGAGCCGAGATCGCACCATTGCACTCTAGCCTGGGTAACAAGGGCGAAACTCCGTCTCAAAAAAAAAAAAAAAAAAACACAAAACAAACACCCTTTTTACTATTAAAGCCTATTAATCATGATGATGCCAGTTTTGTTATAAACAGGAAAATATATAGGTGATACTGGACACATTATTAGGAATAAATCCAGAAGTGATTTCTGCTTAATAAAGACACGCCCCTTGAGCTATCTTCACAATCTTATCACACTTAAAATTCTAGGAATTTTGGGCCGGGTGCGGTGGCTCACGCCTATAGTCCCAGCACTTTGGGGGGCCAAGGTGGGTGGATCACGAGGTCAAGGGATCGAGACCATCCTGGTCAACATGGTGAAGTTCCGTCTCTACTAAAAATACAAAAAAATTAGCTGGGCATGGTGGTGCACGCCTGCAGTCCCAACTACTCAGGAGGCTGAGGCAGGAGAATTGCTTGAACCCAGGAGGCGGAGGTTGCGGAGCTGAGATCGTGCCATTGCACTCCAGCCTGGGTAACAAGAGCGAATCTTCGTCTCAAACAAAACAAAACAAAAAAAAAACAAAAAAAAAAAAAAAAAAAAACTAGGAATTTTAATTTCATGAAATTCAGAAACTTTAGTTGATAAAATTTAAATGCAAACTCCTAGGTCATCTTTGTCATAGCTTTATGTAAATACACTTCCTTCTTTTAATAAACATATACTTGGAACAGCCAGCTTTCTCTCCACTAATTTAAAAATAACACCAATATCATCTACTAAATTCTTCAAAACGAGCTCTTGCTCTGTTGCCTAGGCTAGTGTGCAGTCCTGCGATCACTGCTTGCTGCTGCCTTGAGCTCCCGGGGTCAAGCAATCCTCTAGCCTCAGCTTCTTGAGTAGCTGAGACTATAGGTACACACCACCATGTTCAGCTAAATTTTTTACTTTTTTAGAGACAGGGTCTTGCTATGTTGCCCAAGTTAGTCTCAAACTCCTGGCTTCAAGTGATCCTCCTATCTTGACCTTGCAAAATGTTGGGGTTATAGGCATGAGTCACTGTACCCAGGATAAATTCTTATTTATACTTGGATCTTTTCAGACTGCCTATTGCCTTCTATTCATCTCTTATTTTATTTACTGCATTACTACATTTTATTATCAAGTCAGTAAGCCCATTACTTTTATTTTTCAAATATGTCCATCTACCTTCCATGTTTGTTTTAAAAATAATCTATTTTACTAAGTTCTCTTACTATTCCATTTGCATTGATGTTAATTAATTTGCAATAAATTTGTTAACTATAAGAAGTGTTCTCAATATTGAATCTTTTTTTTTTTTTTCTCTTTTTTTGGAGATAGGGTCTTGGTTCTGTGGCCCAGGCTGGAGTGAGGTGGTACATAAATATAATACTGCAGCCTCAGACTCCTGGCTCAAGTGATCCTCCTGCCTCAGCTTCTTGAGTAGCTAGGACCACAGGTTTGCACCATCATACTCTGCTTAGTTTTTAAATTTCTGGGTAGAGGGCCGGGCACGGTGGCTCACGCCTGTAATCCCAGCACTTTGGGAGGCCGAGGCGGGTGGATCACGAGGTCAAGAGATCGAGACCATCCTGGTCAACGCGGTGAAACCCCGTCTCTACTAAAAAACTACAAAAAAATTAGCTGGGCATGGTGGCGCGTGCCTGTAATCCCAGCTACTCAGGAGGCTGAGGCAGGAGAATTGCCTGAACCCAGGAGGCGGAGGTTGCGGTGAGCCGAGATCGCGCCATTGCACTCCAGCCTGGGTAACAAGAGCGAAACTCCGAAACTCCGTCTCAAAAAAAAAAAAAAAAAAAAAAAAAAAAAAAAAAAAAAAAAAAAAAAATTTCTGGGTAGAGATGAAGTCTCACTATGTTGCCTAGGCTGGTCTCAAACTCCTGGGGCTCAAGTGATCATCCTGGCTCAGCCTCCCTAAGTGCTGGTACTCTTCTTGTTCTTTTATCTAGGAATAAGATATGTTTCTTCCATTATATGTGACTTTTATGTCCCTCTATTACATTATTCATCATAGAAGATGGTCATATTTCTTAGTATGACCAATTTATTCCTTATAGATTTCATATATAATTTCTATCTTGTATTACTGTAATCGTCTTTTATCCCTACTACATACTCAATGGATTAGACTTTAGGACTATTTTTTTTTTTTAGAAGGAATCTTGCTCTGTTGCCCAGATTAGAGTGCAGTGGTGCCATCTCGGCTCACTGCAACCTTGGCCTCCCAGGTTCAAGCAATTCTCCTGCGTCAGCCTCCCGAGTAGCTGGAATTACAGGCACTTGCCACCATGCCTGGCTAATTTTTGTATTTTTAATAGATACAAGGTTTCACTGTGCTGGCCCAGGATGGTCTTGAACTCCTGACCTTGTGATCCACCAGTGTTTTTTTTTGAGACAGAGTTTCACTCTGTCGCCCAGGCTGGAGAGCAGCAGCACAATCTCAGCTCACTGCAACCTCTGCTTCCTGGGTTCAAGTGATTCTCTCCTCAGCCTCCAGAGTAGCTGGGATTACAGGTACATGACACCATGCCTGGCTAATTTTTTGTATTTTTACTACAGATGGGGTCTCACCATGTTGGTTGGCCAGGCTGTTCTCCAACTCCCGACCTCAGGTGATCCACCTGCCTTGGCCTCTCAAAGTGCTGGGATTACAGGCATGAGCCTGTCCAGGACTACTGACTTTTGTATATTTAATTTACATTTTGCCTCTGCCTAATTTAAGTTCCTTATTAGTTCTCATTTTTCATAAATAATATTAATTTCCATATTTATGCTTCTTCCTTCTTTTTCATGTGTTCCTGATTTAACTAAAAATTACAAAATAAGCTGGGCACCGTGGCTCATGCCCACAATCCCAGCACTTCGGGAGGCTAGGGGGCGGGGCAGGGGGTGGCACAGGGGGTGGATTGCTTGAGCCCAGGAGTTCCAGACTAGCCTTGGCAACATGGTGAAACCCTGTCCCTACAGAACTACAAAAACTACCTGGTGGTGCTTGCTTGTGATCTAAGTTAACTGGGAGGATGGCTTGAGCCCAGGAGGTGGAGGCTGCAATGAGCCATGATCACACCACTGCATTCCAGTCTGGGAGAGAGAGCAAGATCCTATTTCAAAAACAAACAATCTTTAGAATGTCTAAAAATTAAGCAAATAGGCTGGCTGTGGTGGCTCACACCTGTAATCCCAGTACTTTGGGAGGCCAAGGCGGGTGGATCACTTGAGGTCAGGAGTTTGAGACCAGCCTGGCCAACATGGTGAAACCCCATCTCTACCAAAAGTACAAAAAATTAGCTGGGCGTGGTGGCACACACCTGTAATTCCAGCTACTCAGGAGGCTGAGGCAGGAGAATTCACTTGCACCCGGGTGGTGGAGGCTGCAGTGAGCTGAGATTGTGCCACTGCACTCCAGCCTAGGTGACAGAGCAAGATTCCATCTTAAAAAAAAGAAAGAAAAAAATTAAGCTAATCAATATGAGCAACCGTATGAACTATTTCAAAGCATCTTAAGTGAAATACATACGATTATGTTTAACATTGAATTTTTACTCTTAATAGCTTTTTAAAATATTATCTTGTGACTACAGATCTTTCTGAAGTGACTTAACATTGCTTTACTTAAAACAAGAAACCATTCATATAAAGCAATGAGCCGAAAACATTCACATTAGCAGTAGATAAAAATAGATAAGGAAAAGCCAAGCATGGTGGCGCAAGGCTGTAGCCCAAGCTACTAGAGAAGCTAAGGCAGGAGGCCTGTTTGAGGCCAGATGTCCAAGGCTGCAGTGAGCTATGATCACACTAGTGAATAGCCACTGAATTTCAGTCTGGGCAGCATAGTGAGATCCCATCTCAAAAAAAAAAAGAGAAGAAGAAGAAGAAGAAAGGGAAGGAAGGAAGGAAGGAAGGAAGGAAGGAAGGAAGGAAGGAAGGAAGGAAGGAAGGAGGGAGGGAGGGAGGGAGGGAGGGAGGGAGGGAGGGAAGGAAGGAAGGAAGGAGGAGGGAAGGGCTGGGCACAATGGCTCACACCTGTAATCCCAGCACTTTGGGGAGGCCAAGGCAGATGGATCTCATAAGCCTAGGAGTTCGAGACAAGCCTGGGCAATATAGTGAGACCTCATCTCTAATAAATAAGTAAATAAAAGAAAGAAAGATTAAGAAAAAAAAAGAAAAAGAATAAAAGGTATGGAATCTTGTAACCATTTAAAATTATGAGACTGGCCGGTTGTAAAACAGCATTTTAAGAAATGAAACAATCCTTTAAGAAGATTATTAAAGTACAAATCCTCAGGCTCCTGGGATTTTGATGTGTAAGTCTCAGGATTTAAATTTTTAAGACGCACCCCAGATGATTCAGTTGTACATGGCCTACATTGAGAACCACTACTCTCCATCCTGTGAGGATGTCAGGGGAAATGAAACAGCACAGTACACAGTTTTTTCAGATGGTATTTCCAATTCATCTTGGATAGCTCAACTTTAATGGTGAATCTGAGCCTAATTTGATATACTTAAGTGTGACATACAAGTTATATAATTGCTTTGCAAAAAAAAAGTCCAACTTAGAGAATGCTCAGCATTTCAGTTTTATGATCTAAGAATTCTAATAAGGCTAAATAGTGCCAATCATTCAATAGTATATTCACTGCAATACACCAATTGGGAGAAAAATAAGAACCAAATGGAAATTATACACGTGATTTACAAGCTGCAAAAACTCTGACATTTAGAAAAAGATAAAAACCACTATAGAAGTTTAGAATTAAAATATTTTAGGGATGAGACAGCTTACCTTGAGATAACTGTGTTTTTAGGGATCTTGTATCCTGTGTAAAGGCAGAACCAACCGCACTACTTTGGGGTAAGGTACCACTGTTTGATGTTTCTGTTCCAAAGGATGTCAAAGAGCTTCCAGCTTAAAGAGATTTTTTTAAATGATAAAAAATTTAAAAAAATGTTTTACATTTTTTAATGATACAAAGTAACATAGCATTTTAATGATGGTAATTGTCTACATCTCCCCCAACACATGTACAAATTAATAACCTTGGAAATTAAAGTGTATTGAATAATAGTTTGGGAATTCTACGGCAATATGGGGGGTGGGGAGCCAATATACTGTCCACTATCCTTGGATGCAAACCATGTTTATAACATATGAAGTACTGTCCCTAAGCAGTTATGCAGATGGGACAGCAAGGACCCATATCAGCTAAAGAAGTAGCAGAAATAGTGCATTCTACACCAACATTAAGGTTCAACGATTCTAATACTAAGTATCTGCAAAACTGCCAAATCAGCAGACAGGTTTACGAGGAGCTTTTTCAGCATTTCCAAGGCAACAGACAATGGTCTCTGGTTCCAACGCTTCCCCTTAAGATGGGACTGCGAGGCTGCATTCTGCCTAAAGCATCTGCAATAAGTTCTGGCAATATGAGTAACAAAGTCCCTACAAAGGGCCCAATTCTCTGCCATACTGGGTTGTATCAAATTTCTTCTCTAAGTTTCTACAGTGCTTATGCATCATTCACTTTTGATACACTGTGCTTTCTCTCCGTAGTATTTCATGAATGCAGGTTTTTACTGTATTTCAACAGCACCTCTCTCTTCCATAACCTCTAAATCCAACCTAAAGATGGTAGAGTGATTTTTTACAAAATACAAATGTACTCACACTACTACAATGATTTAGACCTTCTGATGGCTCCCACTGTCCTCAGGATAAAAGTTCAAACTATTTACTTCAGTTAATAAAACCTACCTCTTCTCCCATCATTTTCTGTATTTTCACCAGCCTAGCCCACAGCAGTTTACCCTTCTGCTCTTACAACACATGAAGATTACAATCATGCCCCTTGCAATCTGCTCATTTCCAGGCTAGTCAACTCCAGTTCCTTCAAACATTACTCACCTTACATGGTCTTTATGACACTACCCCCCAACTTCCTTTCTTGGACTCTGAATTTAATGAATTCTATTTGTTCTTATCCCTCTTAAAATGTGGCTTCAGAAAACAGCACAGTATCTCAGACAATGGGAGCCACTGAGACTACCTTGAGGGTGCAATCCAGTGTGGCTGCAGCTCCAGTAGCTAACACAAGTTCCCACAACATCCCGGAAATGCGGGGACTGGTGCTTTCAAGAATTCTGGGGAAGTTGAACCCATCCAATTATTTCTAGTATTCCTGGGCAATGACCAAGACATCAGTCACATGATGTATATTTGTATCTCTGTGCTGCTCTGTGCTTCCTCACCTGGCTTGGCCTCCCATTGCTTGTCCTCTGGATTACACATTCGATGATTAAAGCAAACCTCTTCTGTGATTTCCTGATCATGCCATACACCCCTCCCTCTATCCCAATTCTACTACCAATTTACGTCAACAATCGATTCCAAATTATTTTAAATTTATAGTTTAAGCCAGGGGTCAAGGTTTATTTTTTCCACGGATACCCAGCTGCTGCAATACCCCTTGTTAAAACAATGTCTTCTCTCACAACTGAACAGTGTTGGTACTCCGTTGTATTTGAGTGGGTCTATTTCTGGATTCTCTATTCTTTATTCCTTGTCTGTTAATGTGGTGAGTTACAACTGATTTTCAAATGTTGCAGCTTGCAGTCCTGAGATAAATCTTTGTCATTATGTACAATCCTTCTTCTGAATTGCTGGCTTCTGCTTCTAATAGTTAAACATTATTACATTTATGTACATGAGAGACAGTGATCTATAATTTTCTTGTAGCAATCTAGTCATAGTTGGCATTTTAATTATTTTGCCTTGCTTATCGGGTCAGTAAATACTTCCTCCTTCTCTGTTCTCTAAGTTTTCTTTTTAAGAGACAGGGTTTTGCTCTGTTGCCCAGGCTGGAGTACAGTGGCACCACCATGGCTCACTGTAGCCTTGAACTCCTGGGCTTAAGAAATCCCTGCCTCAGCCTTCTGAGCAACTGGGACTACAGGCATGCATCATGGTGCATAGCTATCTGAAAGAGTTTGTGTAAGATTAGTAAAAATTATTTCTTCCCTAAATGTTTGGTAGAATATAACAGTAAACAGTCTAGAATTTTCTTTGTGGGTGATTTTAAATTACTGTTTCAATTTCATTAGCAGATACAGAGATACTAAAATTTTATTTCCTCTTGTGTTGGTTTACTATTTGTCCACTTAATCCAAACTATCATTCACATTTACTGACATAAAGCACTTCATATATTCCCATATTATTCTTTTAAGATCTATATGGATGTCTACTCTTTCATTCCTGATATTGGCAATTTGCTTGGTTCTTCTTTCTTTCCTTAATCAGTTTTGTTAGTGGCTTATCAATCTTTTATATATATATATATATATCCCATCAAAAACAGACTCTCAGCTTTGCTGATGTATAATCTATTTCTATTTCACTGATTTCTGCTCATCTTTTTTTCTTCTTCCCCATGTATTACTTTTGGAACAATTTTTTTTTCATTTTTTTTCCTAGCTGTCCCCCTACATCCCTGCCAACTTTTTCAGAGATATGGTCTAACTCTGTCACCTAGGCTGGAATGCAGTGGCATGATCACAGTTTACTGCAGCACTGAACTGCTGGGCTCAAGTAATCCTCCCACCTCAGCCTCCCAAGTAGTTAGGACTACAGGCACTCACCACCATGCCCAGCTAACCATTTTTCCTAAGCCTTTTTTTTTGAGACAGAATCTCATTCTGTTGCCTAGGCTGGAGTTCAATGGCTTGATCTCGGCTCACTGCAACCTCCACTTCCTGGGTTCAAGTGATTCTCCTGCCTCAGCCTCCTGAGTAGCTGGGATTACACGCACCCACCACCACACCAGCTGATTTAAAAAAAATTTTTTTTTAATTTTCAGTAGAGACAGGGTTTCACCAAGTTGGTTGGGCTGGTCTTCAACTCCTGATCTCGTGATCCGCCTGTCTCAGCCTCCCAAAGTGCTGGGATTACAGTGTGAGCCACCGGGCCTGGCTTCCTAGCTTCTTAAACTAGTACCTTAGAGCACTGATTTTAAAAATTCTTATTTTCTTTTTCTTTGAGACAGAGTGTCTCTCACTCTGTTACTCAGGTTGGACTGCAGTGGTGCCATCTTGGCTCACTGCAACCTCTACATCCCCAGCTCACGTAATTCTCCTGCCTTAGCCTGCCGAATAGCTGGGACTATGGGTGCATGCCAATATGCCTTACTAATTTTTGTATATTTAGTAGAGACAGGTTTTCACTATATTGGCCAGGCTGGTCTCGAACTCCTGACCTTAAGTGATCCACCTACCTCGGCCTCCCAAAGTGCTGGGGTCATGGGTGTGAGCCACTGCACCTGGCCAAAAATTCTTGTTTTCTAATATATGTATTTAAAGCTAGGAAAATTTTCCTAAACACTGTTTTAGCTCTACCTACCAACTTCCTGGTCATTAAATTAAAAATACACATTTTTTTTCTTTTTTAGAGACAGGGTTTCACCACATTGGCCAGGCTGGTCTCGAACTCCTGACCTTAGGCAATCCACCCGTCTCATCCTCTCAAAGTGTTGGGATTACAGGCGTGAGCCACCGCACCCACAAAAAAAATAACATTTTAAAATTTTTATTTATTTATTTATTTTTTAAAGAGACAAGGTCTAGCTCTGCTACCTTTCCTGGAGTACAGCAGCAGAATCACAGCTCACTGCAGGCTTGAATTCCTGGGCTCAACCAATTCTCCACCTCAGCCTTCTGAGTGCTAGGACTACAGACATGTACAACCATGCCCAGCTAATTACAAATTTTTTTCTGTAGAGACAAGGACTCTCTATGTTTCCCAGGCTGGTCTTGAACTCCTGGCTTCAAGTGATCCTCCCACCTTGGCCTCCCAACGTGCTGGGATTACAGGTGTATGCTATCGCACCTGGCCCAGATTAAAAATATTCTCTAATTTCCTTTGTAAATTCTTCTCTATTAGTGATTAACAAGTTTACTTGATTTGGGGATTTTTCAAGTTACCTTTATTAATTCCAAGTTTAATTATTTTGTGGTTTAAGAAGGTATCATGTATGATTTTAATCCTTTTGGAATTTAGTGTGACCTATTTTATGGTACAGTATTTGGTCTATATTGTTAAGCAGTCCATGTCTACTTAAAACAATATTCTGCAATTGTTGGGTATACTGTTTTATAAAAGTTACACATTTAGGACTGTTGTATCTTCCTGATGAATTGATCCTCACGTTTATAAAGAACGCCCCTTTATCTCTGTTAGTACCCCTGATCTTTAAGCTGCTTTGTCTGACATTAAAGTATGTCACACAGTTTTCCTGTTATTGGTGTTTTTGTGGTATACCTTTTTCTATTCTTTTACTTTCAGTGCATCTCTTGCAAACATAATATAGTTGGGCCATTTTAAAAAATTAATTCAGTCTGATACTCTCTACCTTTTAATTGGAATGTTTCATTCCTTCACATTTTACCAAAGTAGATGCTTAATAATCTTTTTTTTTTTTGAGACACGGTCTCGCTGTCACCCAGGATGGAGTGCAGTGACGTGATCTTGACTCCCTGCAACCTCTACCTTCTGGGTTGCAGCGATTCTCCTGCCTCAGCCTCCCAAGTAGCTGGGATTACAGGTGTATGCCACCACGTCTGGCTCATTTTTTTGTATTTTAGTAGAGACAGGGTTTCACCATGATGGCCAGGCTGATATTGAACTTCTGACCTCACTGACCTCAAATGATTCACCCCGCTCAACTTCCCAAAGTGCTGGGATTATAGGCGTGAGCCACTGTGCCTGGCCTGATCTGTAACAATCCTTAGTCTAACATCCATAATGCCTGAAACAGCCTCCTGGCTTTATGCTACCCATGAAGCTCATAAGCATGCTTTCAAGGCTTCATCACTCAGTAATTAAAAATTAGCATGGAGAACCATGCTCCAATATGGTTTGGCTATTTAACCAACTAAAATGTACCCATTGATGGTCTATTCAGCCAATATTCCTCCATCTGGCACATAAGATTATGAAACTTAAACAGCATGCCATGCCATGTTAGTAAACCTGTCTCAATTATTTGAGAACAACCAGCTGACCTTATCAACTAGAGTAAATATAACAGAAAAAATATCTAATTGCTTCATATTTGTTCATTTTAATCCTTGCTACAGAATTATGTTAGATAGTTGGTCAATCTGTGCCTTTCATTGTTTCTACAAATTCTTTTTTCTAACAGCAGCAGTAAGCTCTTATTTTCTACTGTTCAATGGTAACATAGGTAAATACTGTTTTGATGCTTCATTTATTGTGAGATGTTCAATTTTTCCTAAATGTTCAGAAATTAAGGCCAGAAATGATCTAATCTCTTGCACATAAGAACTACTTTTACATCAGCTTTAAAAAAAAGTGCTTTAATTCTACCTGGTATATTATTCTTTTCAATGTATGACAGTATATATTCTTCACAGACTTGCCAAAAGAGTATGCATATAATTAAACTTTGAGTTTTTGCCAAAGTGATAGCAAGAAATGGTGTCTTAGTGTAGATTTAATTTGTACATTTTTCACTATAAGCAAGATGATTTTTTCTTTTTCTTTCTTTTTTTTTTTTTTTTTGAGACACAGCCTGGCTCTGTTTCCCAAGCTGGAGTGCAATGGTGTGATCTTGGTTCACTGCAACCTCCACCTCTCAGGCTCAAGCAATCATCCTCTCACCTCAGCCTCTGGAGCAGCTGGGATTACAGGAGTTTGCCACCACGCTTGCTTTTTTTTTTTTTTTTTTTTTTTTTTTGGTAGAGACAGGGTTTAGTCAGGCTGGTCTCCAACTCCTGAGCTCAAGCAATGCTCCCCCACAGCCTCCCAAAGTGCTGGAGTCTTTGCATTCCAGCCTGGGCAACAGAGCGTGAAGTATTTTACTCATTTGCCCCATCCTATAATACATACAAAACAGTTTAAGAATTAACAACACCTGGCTGGGCGCAGTGGCTCATGCCTGTAATCCCAAAAGGAGGCCAAGGCGGGTAGATCACTTGAGCTCACAAGACCAGCCTGGGCAACAAGGGGAAACCCTGTCTCTACAAAAAACACAAAAATCTAGTTGGAAGTGGTGGTGCATGCCAGCTACTCAGAAGGCTGAGGTGGAAGGATGGTTTGAGCCTTGGAGTTAGAACCAGATCTTATCTCAGAGTTGGGGAGAGGGAACAACAACAACAAAAAACAAACCACAACACCAATAATACAAATTGAAGTCAAGTTTTGTTTTGTTCTGAGATGGAGTTTCACTCTTGTTGCCCAGGCTAGAGTGCAATGGTGCGATCTTGGCTCACTGCAACCTCAGCTCACTACAACCTCTGCCTCCCAGGTTCAAGCGGTTTTCCTGCTTCAGCCTCCAAGTAGCTGGTATTACAGGCATGCACCACCACACCCAGCTAACTTTGCATTTTTTGTAGAGATGGGGTTTCTCCATGTTAGGCTGGTCTCAAACTCCTGACCTCGGGTGATCCGCCCACCTCGGCCTCCCAAAGTGCTGGGATTACATGTGTGATGCCTGGCCAAGTGTTCTTAAGAGTTAATAGTTCTACTTGTTGTTAATATATCCTACTAAGAACGTAAAAGTTATCTGAATTATTTTTTCCCCTATATGTTTATATTATCAATTTGATATGCAATAGCATCTGTGCTTTTTGTTTGTATTTGTTCAGTTTTAATTTGCCTTTTTTGGTCATTCATTATTATTTTGTGAATAAGTAAAACATTTAAATACTTAAGTCACATCTGTATAAAAAGTATATTAAGAGGAAAAAATGTAATAATTTTAACAAAACTTGTTAGCATATTAATGAGTTTCAAGATACACCTGAAACTAAATTTGTGGTGCAGTCAGAGTTACCTGATAATGATTTCAATGAAATTTTAAAAGATTAGGGACAAAACTTTGAGATTTAAAACTGTTCTTTACCATGGAATAAAGTGTACTGAAATGCTAAAACGTACAGCTATAAAAAAACAACACTGAGCTAATCTGATTATATCCAGATTTTGCACTCAATAGCCCTTGACCCTCTCCAGCCATAAGTAAGACTGTCATTTGCCCAGCCCTGCTGTGCATTCTTGTTATAGCTGTTTCAAAACCAGTGTTAGAGAAACAAAACCAAGCCCTCAATCATGCTATGTGTATCTTTATGTGTGCATGTCTTTTGCATGTTTAAAATATTTTAGGCTGGGCACGGTAGCTCACGCCTGTAATCTCAGCATTTTGGAAGGCTGAGGTAGGTGGATCACTTGAGGTCAGGAGTTCGAGACCAGCTTGGCCAACATGGTGAAATGCCATCTCTATTAAAAATACAAAAAAATTAGCTGGGTGTGATGGCGCACACCTGTAATCCCAGCTACTCAGGAGGCTGAGGCAGGAGAATTGCTTGAACCCAGGAGGTGGAGGTTACAGTGAGTGGAGATCAGGCCACTGACTCCAGGCTGGGTGATAGCAAGACTGTGTCTCAAAAAATAAAAATAAAATAAAACAAAAGATAGAGTGAGACTCTGTCTCAAAAAAAGAAAAAGAAATCCAATTATCAGTAAGATTTGGTAGATGTTAGATATAACTATGTGTAAAAAAAAATGTTACTACTATAAAAGTTGACTTTCAAAAACCTAGTAATATCATAATAATATTAAATAAAGGCTTTAAAATGTCATCAATATGTGTTCTGAACACTGTAAAACAAAGTTACAAAAGGAACATCAAACATTTCTAAAAGTTTGTGTTGAGTTTCTATACCTTTGTGGCAAAGAAAGGAAGAATAAAAAAACAAAAAAATAAGTAAAAGAAAAAGAAAACATACCAACACCAACAGCACCAAACTGCTGCCCAACTAAGGAACTTGGACTGAACTGACTGTATGTGGGCATCCTGCCGAAAGGCCCATAAGAACCCATGGACTGGAATGAAGAAGTCGATGAGCCTAGTGAGGACTGAAGGAAAATCATGGGTTATATTTCCAAGCTCTACGCAACATGTATATAATGAAAAAAATTTCCAGATTTTTATTTTTAAGAAAACTAATAAATTATAACTACTAGATATAAAATGAATTACCATATGCATTTAAAACAGCCAAAGAACTTTCTGATTTCAATATCTGTCTATAATGTGACAATTATACTCAATGTGACTTACAAATACTTTTTTCTACAATAAACTCCCCATTTGAGCTAAGAGTTTTATATAGAGAGAAAAGAAATAGTTACTTTTCTTAAAGTAAAGTAACTTTGCCTGAAGAAAAATATGAGAAAAGTAACTTTTAGTAATACTGAGTTTTAGTCTGATGCTGATATAAATCTCACTTGTGATTTTACTTATTTTCAATCATTTGAGGCCTACTATTAAATTCACAGGAAAGAGATGTAGAAACAAACATATCCCACGTAAAACCATTTACATTTTTACTTATATTTACATTAAGCTGAGGAACATTTTATTAAAACTTTAACTTAAACCTAAAGCATATATATTTTAAAATATATGTTAATACATATATACTTCATATATTATCTCATTTAAAATGTTTCATAATATAAACATGAAGTGTGTTAAAGGCTACCAGGACAAACACTCACTGATGGCAGGACCTTTTCTGTGTGTTCACTACTAGTGTTAAGCACATACCAGATATTCCGTAAATACTACTGAATGAATGAATAAGAAGATCAAATAGAAGTTTACGATTATTGGAAGAAGTTATTCAACACCATTTTGATTTGCTCTCTCTTAGTTTTTTTCATTCCATAAAACTGATTACTCAAATAACTGGTTCCCTGGAGAATTATCAAAGGCCATATATAAGAGACAGTAAGGTACCACCAATGTTTGGTGTAGGTGGCTATCTCTAAATGTGTCTCTTCCTTCTCCATTTAAAGAGATTCACATTTTTTCAGATTCCTTCAGGCTTCCTTTCACCAAAATAAGACTTAACAAGGGTAGGGACAGATGAGAGTAGAGAATTTCTCTAGTTTATGCTGTAAGAACAAAATTTACAATTCCTTATTAAAAAGCTTAAATTGGGAAATTTAAGAGCTGATCTAAGTATGTTAAAATACATTTATGTTTATGTTTTCTTATTATATAACACTGCAGGCCAGGCACAGTGGCTCATGCCTGTAATCCCAGCACTTTGGGAGGCTGAAGTGGGTGGATCACTTGAGGTCAGGAGTTTGAGACCAGGCTGGCCAACATGGTGAAACCCCATCTCTTCTACAAATACAAGAATTAGCTGGGTGTTGTGGTGCATGCCTGTAATCCCAGCTACTCAGAAGGCTGAGGCAGAAGAATTGCTTGAACCTGGGAGGTGGAGATTGCAGTGAGCCGAGTTCATGCCACTGTACTCCAATGACTCTATTTCAAAAAGAAATTAGAAAAAAAAAAAAAAAGAAAAAATAAAGACAAACATTGCATATTATATAACATGCAGAACAATGTGATTTTGCTTTTTTTTCCCATTAAACCTAATAATCTTATATAAGAAGAATTGTTATTACCCTGGTTTGCTATATAAACCATATCTCAATAATATGATAGCACAGATCCTAGATTCTGAAGCAGGCTGCCTGGATCTGTTCAAATTGTGATTCCATCTCAATTTCCTCACTTGCTAAAAGTGAGAATAATTATGGTGCCAACCTCAGAGGGTGTCTTATATGCACAGTGCTTCTATAGAGTAGCCTTCAATGTTAGCTATTGTAATTGTTGTTGAAATTAGAAAATATTTTATAATAAATTCCTCAGCTGTTTTTTACCTTAGTCTTAATTTATGATACAAAGAGAAAAACCTAGATGAGATCATTATCCAGTAATTTCAGGTATCCAGGTAACTTGGAAATGATAAGCTACAACAACATTCAACTGGGAGAGAAAAAAGTCAAGGCTAACCCTGTGTGAAGTTTACCTGTACTCCACGAAAAATTTACTATCAGTTACCTGAACGATAGCTGGGTCTTGAGGCAAAGAACATTGTGGTTTTGGTGGCTCACAAACAGTGAGGTCTTTAATGTCACTCCCACGGAATATAATGTATTCAAAGACTTCATCTCGAGGTGGTATTGGACGATCTGTTGGTCTGTCTTCTGTACCAAAGGATCGAACTGGCAAGAAAACAAAGGATGTCAGATGTGTGACTACTCATCAAATTCAAGTACAGTAGTACCCCAGATTTTAAGTGTTATATTTCAGGTACTAAGCAGTAGTTTGAAGTGTCTGAGAAAGTATTCATTCATCCATAGCTAAATAATTTTTTTAAAGAGGAAAATAGAGTAGGTTTTATCTGAAGTTAAATATACGGAAAATAAAAGACTATCACTATTATGAGATTGTGTTACTCTCGTATTTTTATTTATTTGTATCTTTAGTGGTTGTAGTGGGGTATTAAAATGTCCTTTCATTATTTACCTATTTATTGAGACAGGCTGTCACCCAGACTGGAGTGAAGTGGTGTGGTCATGGCTTCCTGCAGCCTCAGTTTCCTGGGCTCAGGCGATTCTTCCATCTCAGCCTCCCATGTAGCTGGGACCAGAGGCATGTGCCATTAAGCCCAGCTAATATTTTTATGTTTTAGTAGAGATGAGGTCTTGCTATTTCGCACAGACTGGTCTTGAACTCCTGGCCTCACATAATCTTCCTGCTTTGGCCTCTCAAACTGCTAGATTACAGGCCTGAGCCACTGTGCCTGGCTCACTGTTAATTTATTTTTAATGTCCTCATTCAGCAAAACAAAACTTAGCAACCTATGTCTTTCTTTGGAGGGAGGGTGAGGCACAGATTTTTCCAGTCTACAAAATCTCAAAGTTTGGGTATTGGTCTTTGGGACACAGAGAAGCAATGAAGGTATTCATAACATTTATTTACTGAGCAGTAAGTCCTCTAGAAGCCAAGCCAAACAGCTGCCAGCTATTCAGCCCCATGGGATAGCCTAAAATATCCTAGTTATCTAAAATACCAACCATATAATTAAATCTGATTATTTTAACAACGAAGATAGCATTACTCAAAGCTAAACTGGGGACCACCTGCAACACAGTAAGCTGGCTACAAATGAAGATTTCTATTGAATAAAACTTATTGAGCACAGGGTCCAAAAATCTGCATTTTAAGCTACTATGATTAAGGATAGTGGCTCATGTCTGTAAATGCCAGCACTGGCAACAGAGTGATGTCCTATCTACAAAAAATAAATTTTTTTTTTAAAATTAGCCAGGTGTCTAATTTTTTAAAAAAAATTATGCCTGTAGTCCCAGCTACAAAGAGGTTGAGGTGGAAGGACTGCTTGATTCTGGAAGGTTGAGGCTGCAGTGAGCCGTGGCTGTGCCACTGCACTCCAGCTTGGGCGACAGAGCAAGACCCTGTTTCAAAACAAATAAAATAACCAAATCCCCAAGTTTCTTATAAATATGAAAGTTCCAGGTTCATTGTCCTGGGGGAATTCTGAAAATGTCTGCATCCATACAGATGTTCTAAATAGAGAATATGAAACATCATATACTGTTCATTTAAAGAGTAGACTCGAGGAAGTAAACCCTTTAACATTTTTTTCTTTTTGAGATGGAATCTCACTCTGTTGACCAGGCTGGAGTGCAGTGATGCGATCTTGGTTCACTGCAACCTCTGCCTCCTGGGTTCAAGAGATTCTCCTGCTTCAGGCTCTGAGTGGCTGAGATCACAGGCGTGTGCCACAACGCCCAGCTAATCTTTGTATTTTATAAGCGGAGATGGGGTTTCACCATATTGGCCAGGCTGGTCTAGAACTCCTGATCTCAAGTGATCCACTGTCTCGGCCTCCCAAAGTGCTGGGATTACAGGTATGAGCCACCATGCCTAGCCCCCCTTAACATTTTTATTCCATATTCTTTTTTTTTTTTTTTTTTTTTTTTTTTTTTTGTAGAACTAATGCAGTGCTAGATTAAGGATGAATGTCAGGCTGGATCTACTGACTCGTGCCTGTAATCCCAGCACTTTGGGAGGCCAAGGTGGGCCGATCACTTGAGGTCAGAAGTCTGACACCAGCCTGGTCAAAATGGTGAAATCCCATCTCTATTAAAAATACAAAAAATAATTAGGTGGGTATGTTGGCACACGTCTGTAAGTCTAGCTGCTCAGGGGGCTGATGTGGGAGAATTGGTTGAACTCAAGAGGCAGAGGTTGCAGTGAGCTAAAATGACGCCACTGCACTCCAGCCCGGGCGACAGAGTGAGAGTCTGACTCAAAAAGAAAAAAAAAAAAAAGAATTTATTTCAGTGTAAATAATGTCTTCACACTCTTATTCTAAAAATTCTTTCTAGTATTTATGAGACTTCCAGGAAAGATAGTAGCACAGGCAGTTTGGCAGAAAATCCTTCCCTAGAACTATAGGAAAGAAAAAGGAAGTTAAAATATCCCTACAATCATGAAAAATTCTCAAATTCATACCATGAAATTTTATTAAATAGTATCATTCAGGTGCAGAATGAGTTAGTTGAAACTAAAAGACCAAGCCCAGAATCCATACGTAGTATCCTCTGCCCTCTCCTCCCTCCAGAGAAATTTTGACTAGTACATTCGACTTGCTAAGATGGGTACAGGGACACAGGTGTGATGAGGAAAAAAATGTGGAATGGCCTACCTGAAGCTCCCTTTCTCTGATGGTCAGATAGTACTTAAGCAGGTAGGAAGATTTTATATTTTGACCTTTATTCAAAAGGAAGGATAAGGAGAAAGGACTAAGAAATTACAAATAAATCAGTCTCATGCCTAACCTCAGTACCATCACATCAAATAAAGTCTCATGCTTCCAAAGTAGCAGATGAGCTCATCCTGACACAAAGGGTTTGTCAAAGGTCCGTCTACAAAATTAGAGATGCTCTATTAGGCTTCCTAAGGCCTAACAGAGCACAGCCAGGTAAATTCAGAGTGAAGTAAAAGAGAATTTGCACTTCATGTTTTGCCAAAAAAAAAAAAAAAAGTTAGAAAAATCATGGAATCAAGAAAAATTTTACAGGAAAGAAATAAGGGAAGAAAAGAAGAAAAAGAGAGAGGCAATGATGGAAGAAAAGTAAAAAGAAAAGACAAAGGAGAAGAGAAAAATCAAAGAGGACACGGTCTTCATTTGCTTATTATTATGATTTTTTTTTGAGTCAGAGTCTTGCTCTGTCACCTAGGCTGCAGTGCAATGGCACAATCTCAGCTCACTGCACCCTCTGACTCCTGGGTTTAAGCAATTCTCTTGCCTCGGCCTCCTGAGTAGCTGGGATTACAGGCGACCGCCAGAATAATGCCCGGCTAATTTCTTTCTCTGTATTTTTAGTAGAAATGGAGTTTCTCATGTTGGCCAGGCTGATCTCAAATTCCTGACCTCAGGCGATCCGCCCACCTCAGCCTCCCAAAGTGCTAGGATTACAGGCATGAGCGTATTTTTTTTTTTAATTTTTTTTCCCCACAAGACTGAGTCTTGCTCTGTCGCCCAGGCTGGAGTACAGTGGTGCGATCTTGGCTCACTGCAACCTCTGCCTCCTGGGTTCAAGTGATTCTTCTGCCTCAGTCTCCCGAGTAGCTGGGATTACAGGAACGCACCACCACGCCCAGCTAGTTTTTGTATTCTTAGAAAGGAGGTGTCACCATGTTGGCCAGGCTGGTCTCAAACTCCTAACCTCGTAATCTGCCCACGTCAGCCTCCCAAAGTGCTGAGATTACAGGCATGAGCCACTGCACCTGGCCTCATTTACTTACTTTTTTTCCCCCCCATTACCAGCAGTTTGCCCTGACAGAGAGGACACAGTTTTCAAAAAGTAGATGAATCCCAGCTACTCAGGAGGCTGAGACAGGAGAATTGCTTGAAACCAGGAGGCGGAGGTTGCAGTGAGCCGAGGTCACACCACTGCACTCCAGCCTGCTGCCGGGTGACTGAATGGGACTCTGTCTCTAAAAAAAAAAAAAAAAAAAAGTTGATGAAATACGTTCAGTATTAATATTTATCACAGAAAATAGAAGAAATTTTCTGAAAGAACTGCTTTGACATTCACAAGAAAAACACAAAGCATAGACTTATCATTAAAACAACACTGAAAAGGTAGCATGCAGAATTAAGGAATGAAAATTATATAAGATAAATAAAACAGCATAACTAATAAATGCATCACCAAACAGAACAGCCAATGCAGTAAAACCAAATCACTAGAAGAGAGTAATTTTGAGAAAATGTAAACAAGATGTCATAAAATAGTATAGCAATAAAAAGGTTAGAGAGAAGATGATAGTTATGAAGATCCAACAGTTAGTTAACTATCGTCCCTTAGGTAGACAAAAGAATAAGAGAAAATATAATTAAAGATATAACAGAATAGACATGTCTTGACATGAAGGCCTAAATTTCATCAAAGGCTTTCACTGTATTTCCGGGGGGGGGGGGGAAATCAGTACACTACAAGCCATAGAGACTTATGCTTTGCTATATCAAAATAAAGAATTCAAAAAAAGTGGTATCCAAAGATAACAAACGGACAATAAATTCATTTAAGCACAGAAGTGTACATGACAATTTATATGGTTCTAGAACAGAAATAGTTCTGGAAAAGACTACAAAGCTACAAAGTATAACAAACTAAGAACAGTGTATCACAACATTTTAACAAAAATTGGGAGATGAAAATGAATGGAGAGAGGAAAACTCAACAGGTGGTAATATCTAAACTTATACTTTGATCTCTCATCGTGTCAAGTACAAGTCACTTGATACTTTTTTTTTTGGTTAGTTGATAATAAATGAAGGCTTTAAAGTTTGTTATTTGAAATAATTTCTTAAATTCTACTGTGGGTTTTCAAAGTAACTCATATTAGAATTTAAAACTAAGAGCATACTTTCCAAAATATGGTGTGAAGAAAAACTCTATCATATGGCAAATTAAACAAACTGAAAAAGCATGAAAACAGAAACCACAGAATAAGAACGATTTGTACACAACAAGCATTTGAGAAACATGCTCTAATGATGGAGGCTGGCTTAATCAGATTTGGGGTTTTCAACGCAAGAGTTCTTGTAGTATTGTGAAGAACAAATTACACAAGAGAGATTGGAAGGGTACACATGGCTAGAAGATACTGTTACAGAACAAATGAG